TCAAATCCAAAACATTTAAACCTTTTCCTTGTAATTCGTAACTCTTTGTTCGAATATACCATTAATTAGGTAACTGTAATAATTTATGGAAATTGTACCAATTTGTGTTTAACATAACAATATACCCTTTAATCAACTAAAAATATGGTTCTTTTGAAGTTGTGATTAAGGACTATTTAAAAATTTATCAACTAAAAACGAAATATTCCACTTTTGAAATTTACAAATCTTGATAAATTTAAAATAATCAATAATATTTTTATTGACATATTGTCAGTGTAATCCAGATTTCTTAAAAATACTGAAATTCATAAATCCCGAAACTGTTTGTTGATTGTTGTTAAGTCTCAATTTCTGCAAAATTCCTTCAATCATGAGCTCCATATATTTTATAAATAGTTGATAAAAACAAACCCGAAATTTATCGAGATCTCGAAATATTTTAATTTATTTTGAAATTCGTTGACATTTATGTACAAACATTATAATGCAATTTACAAATTAGTTCTTCAAGCTAAGCTTCTTCTATTTCTTCAAAATAAAGTTTCGCATTTGTTTTCAATAGAAACATGTGTAACGGATATTTACAAAATCCGAAATTATTTGCTCTTAGTTTGGGGATTAGCTTTCTAACTAATAATAACTTTGTTTCTAATTTAATTTATTGTTAAAAATTTAGTCCCAAATTATTTTCGATATTCCGAAATTTTAGAAGTATTTTAAGTTATTTAACAATAAAATACAGTAATAACACTTAAAAGTTTTTGAAATAATAAGATTTGTAAATTTCATTAAAAACCTGCACATTTTCCTACAGGGTATAAATAAGCGACCAAACTACACATTCGTAAAAGTGAACTGTTACTTTGTCGATATGCACTTACACGCACAACAAACACTACCGTTAAAGTTTGTTTCTATGCGCTATTTCGCAAGTTGCACTCACGTTTTATTGCTTTCAACTGAATTTTGCCGCTTTGTTGTTGCAATGATTGGTGTGTTAAGATGTTGCGGCTTTACCACTTTCAACATGCACTATTGCAGCATTGCCACGTGTTTGTAGTCACAATTCCGAATGCAGTGGCAGTGCCTTTCAAATTTGCCTATCTGTTCAGCAGTCGTCTGTGTTCTTTGTTGCCTCTTTGCTCTTTCTTTATCTATCATCATTATTGTGGTGGTAACAAAACTTGGTCAAATGAATGACTTTGAAGTTACTTGTTTTGAATAGATCTGAAAATGACGTGTAGTGAAAATCAAATAAAGCAAAGTATTGAAACACTTTAGAGTGCTCTGTTTTACTTAGACTCTCCACTCTACTTTCTTTTATAGATCACTATACTCTCCTCTTCAGTATTGATTGTATTGTAAGGGTCTTACAAGTCGACATATAGCCTTGAATTTGCCACAAATTTGCTGAGGCGTCTATTAATTGGTGGTTGATGTTACTTTGCAGCAATAAATCTACTGCTACCTTAATGGCATCACCCTCTGCTTGGAAAACGCTACAGAGTTCTAGTAGCCTACAACTTTGCTTGCCGGAGAACTCATTACAGAAAACTATTACTCCAAACTTCCCTTTAAGTTCTTCTTCGACGACTTCTCTCCATCCACGTATCTCTCAGTAATCTCAGTTTTGAGCGATGAAACCGAAGAAGGAAAAAATTTTTGCTCTTTGGTCTCTTTCCATTGTGGCCACCACTTGTAGGTAATGGCCTTGAAAAATTGGACTATAAATTAGGTAGGGATTGATGGTTCAACGGAAACAACCAAGGAATTTTAATTTCACATGATAATACGGATTCTGATACTGACACTGATAGATAATAATACTAGAACTGATATAGGTACTGGTAATCTACTACTAGTACTGGTCTTTTGATACTAATAGAAAAGTGATAATATCATCATATGTGAAATCTCTGTGTGTAAACATAGTACTATGAAACTTCTAAAAAATCATAACCTCAAGAATCGTAGATTTCTTTGAGATAATATAAGATGATTAGAATCATACTGATAAGTTTTCGATAAAAGTCTGTCAATGATATGAATCCTAGGGTATTATTGATCTAAGAAATCTTGCTATAGATTCCATCATGAGATCAGAAGCATAACATAAATTTCATAAATAGCAAAGGCAGTAGAGAAGAAAGGAAGATTGTAAGAAATCCGAAATATTCCGGCTGTATGCCATCTTGTTTAATATTATTAATAAAAATGCGAAATCTCTTCAAAAATCTGAAAACAAAGTTATTGCGTATACCCATTTTATGCTTAACTAACAAAGCTTTTGTAATCTAACAATACAACTTTAGTCCTTTACTTCGTATTGGAGGAAGTTCGAGACTGACTGAAAAAGTCCAGTTCGTAAAAGTATCCATAGAGTGCGCTCCAAGCAGTTATCGGGCTCTAAGTGATTTTTTTTGTAAAGTCAGCTTATAGCATTTAGTACAGAGTTGCCATCTTCATGAGCTTCATCTCATAGGCTTCGTGTTTTTTTCACTTTTCAAAATTATGAGTCAAGAGAGTGCAAACCAGAAATTTTCTAAATATAGAAATGAAAATCGGTGTATTTTCAACCCTAAAACTTTCAAAGCAATTAGTTATGCTTGAAGCCATCTTCCTATTGTCTAAGAGATTAATGGAGACATATTTACTGCGACAATAAATATAGGTCAATATTAAAACGGCTGCAGCTCCTGGCAGAGAGCAGTTCGATAGCAAAGCTTAAGAGCTTCGTTCCCCGGACAGTCTGGTATGCGTAGCCGGAAGAGACCTGAATATTTAGCCAACGAATGACTGTCAATTCGACAATTTCCTCAAATATAATTTTGGCATGTTTTCTGTCGCTGCAGCAACAACAACAACTACAATAAACGAAATATCACAAAGTGACGCATGTATTCGGTGTGAATTCGCACATCTGCTTATTCTTATAACACCATGTCAGTCACTTTTCATGTTAAATATTCAAAAACCAAATAATTTGCTAAAAAAAAAACAACAAACAATTGTGTGCGAAAAAACCACAAAAAGTAAAAGTAATAAAACAACGAAGATGTTGAAGCATAAATGAAGTTAACAATAATACCAGCGGCAATAATTGTGTGAAATAAAACAATTAAGCGGCTGAGCACTTACGGCAGGTTATGTGCGGATGTGTACTGGTGTACTCGCATGCCGTTGTGTCTGCTATTGTTGTTGTACAATTAAATTACATCGAGGCTTTACATAAGCCAAAAAGCAATTTGAAGCAAAACAAAATGGGAAAATACAAAAATATCTCTAACATCAATACATAAATCAATATATTTAAATATATCATATATCATATAAATATATAATACATAAATAAAATAAACAATAATATATTTCAAACATAATATATATCATATAATCAATATATCTTTATAGTATATATATAGATATATAAATATCGGATATAAAAATTCCTAATATATTTCTATTAAACTAATTAAACATCCTTTTATATCAAATATAATATTTGTTATATAATAATAAATAATAATAATATAATAAATTTATCATACCTAACTAAACACTGAAGTTAAAATACTCAGAAATCAGTTTTTTATATATATATATTCATTTTTAAATGTTATACTGTAAATTATTATCTATCTACTATACTCAACGCACGTATTCGAAATCTCAGTTTTTTGTTATAAATTTGATATTTATGTATTTTCATCATTTAGATGTTAATTCTCGAGAAGAATTTTTCACCAAATTTTATAACTTTAACCCAAACTGCTTTGGAATAATAGTAAAAATAGCATATATTAAAGCTTTAACCAGCGTGGAGACAGTTAAGGGATGTCACGTCAAAGTCAAAATTCAAATCCAAATTCACTTGAAGCACCAAGCGAAATAGAATTGGATGATAACTATTATGCTACACATGTTTAGGGTTGTCGTAATGGTTTATTTTTTATCACCAGTCACAACGCGATATTGAAACTATTTCTTTTTGTAACATTCAAGCAGCATTTCTGACATTCAAAATTGTTTTTCAACGTCTCTTGGCTTCAATTCATATGACATTCACATTCTTTGCTTTTAAATGTTTCCGGCTGCTTTTAAACATTTTTAAAAGGCTGCTTGAGTGGCTCCCCAAGATTCTGCGAGTTCTTCTTGTGTTTGGCAATAATTTTCATCGTCTTATGCTTCCAGTTCTTCATCTTTGAACTTTTTTGGCCACCCAAGACGTTCTTCGTCTTTCAAGCCAAAAAATCAACACTTTTAAATCTTGCAAACTATTTTGGGCACATTCGCTCAGCCACAAAATGTTCTCCATAAGTTGCCACCAAAATATGTGGACTTTCGGCCGATGTTTTCTTCCTGTTAAAGTAATAAAGATTTCTTGATGAAAGAACAAATTAATATCCTAAATTTTTCACACTGAAAAGACATGCCGGCGGTTAGATGGGAATTTATAAAGCCGATTTTCATTCAAAGTGTTTGATTAAACTCTTTAAAAATGGATGGCTTCACTCTTACAAAACGAACATGTCATGATCTCTTTTCAGGTCACGTGAGATAAATGAATTCACTTTGGAACACTAAATTTTTTTTTTAGGCAAAAACAAGGGACTGTGTAGCTATCTATTGAAAACACGTTAGTGACTGGCGAATAAATATAAACATTTTTTTAATCGGTGGTTCGATATATCATTTGTAGGATATTCCGAAGGGTGGCAACTAAAATAAAACGATGGAGCTTTTAAGCTGTAGCTTAGAAGTTTCAAGCGTCAACTAACTATCGACAAGTTTGACAGGGCTAATAATAATAGTCTCGAGAACCTTTCTATAAAGTTACAACAAAACACTTCCAAAGAAGAAAAGCTCTTTTTGGAACGTTTTCATTTACCTAATAGAAATTCAATTATGAATTTAAAAATCACGTTATATTCTTTGGAGCGTACTTTTACTCTTTGAAGAGAGTTTCTGAAAAATTGTGCTTTTGCATCTCCCTTTAGAAGGCATTGCTTACAGTCTCATCGGTCTTTTGTTTATTTTGATTTCACAAAAATTAAAATTTTGTTTATTTTTCATTTTGGCAAACTAAAATTAGCTCGTCTTAAGCTCTTTTCCACCGTTTCTTTTATCGTTTTCGTTTAAATTTCATGTAAAATTCGCAAATCATTCGATTCAAAAGCAAAATTATCGAAAAACTGTTTACCACTTTGCTCCCACCAAATCCGTTATACACCAAATTCTCTGTACAAAATGAATCCCGTACAAATCTATTGGGCCGAGCACAAAGGCGTAACGCTCGACGAACAGCAGCGTGACATATACATACGTGATATACCGCAAAAATGGCTGCCACGCATTGCCGATTTAATGGTGGAGAATTCCTATCGCACCAATCGGCTCTACGCACAACTGAAGATACACGATAATCCGGATGTGGAACAAATGTATCGTCGTTACGTGGATCACGTGCTGCAAAACGAATGCAGTATTATGGTGATCGACGAGGAGACGAACGAGATATACGGCGTAGCGCTCGTCAAATGGATGACCAAAGAGTGGCGCTCTTGGACCATTTGGCTACAAATATTCGATTCGTTTCTACTCTTCGCCGAATTCATGCTACTCGGTCGTATGCTAGTGCTCAAGTACGAAGAAGAGCATCCGGAGCATGAGCCTAACAGCTTACACCTCTTCGAGTATTACTTGCATCCCGAGCTTAAGCAAGATCCGCTCTTCATGCAGAAATTCTTCTACAGCATTTTGGAAGTGGCGCGTCATATGTTAATGCCACGTGTCTCATTTGTAGCCGCATCATTGGAGCAGCAGCAAGAGGCTGAAGCGTTCGGTTTTCAAGGGCTCTCACATCTCATCTATTCGCTGGTGGAAGACAGTGGTGTGCGCACCTTTCAGTCGTTGCGCGACATTGAAGAAATGTATATGGTGTTGTATGAGTTTCCGGTTGGACCAATATTACCCTTCTATAACATGCCGCCACCGCATCCGTACGATGAGGAGGATCGTTTGAAGCACGAACCACATGCAAAGCATGAAGGCGAGGAAGCCGCTTTCTTAGAGGAAGACTCAAATCGGCATTCCTTTTCCAAGCTGGTTATAAAGTAGTAGTTTTTTTTAAATCTTAATGGTGTAAACGAGTGTTAGTATTTTATAGTGTGGCCAATGACATGTCTAAAATTGTACAGGCATAATTATTTTAAGACTATTCAGTTCATATTAAATTTATTTACGTAAAGTAAAAATTAATTGGACTGACATCCGTTGGATGCTCGGTTCGAATGCCGAAAATTTTTTTTTTTGAATTTTCCTACTTCTGAGATAACTCAAAGTGAGTAATCTGAATGACTCTGGCTCTACACCATTTTGGCTCAGAAGCGCTCAGAACACTCTGAACGATTGGAAAATAAACAGCATTGTAATTACCTCCAATAATCTGTAGGCAATTGCAACTTTCTAGTATTTTTCTACTAAGCCTTAACCATGTCGAATATGATCATTTTACATATTCCAACATTGGTATCCAAGGAAATATATGAATGCGTGTATTTTAACAGACAAGGGGAGTTGGTCTTCCAGATGGGCGAAATCGGCTCATTTCCACGCCCGCAAAACGCCATTAATCGAAATAGGTATAATCGAATGATAATTCCGCCACATTAAATTTTACATACAGGATAATACAAAAGGGCTATATGCCGTTGTCAAAATTGGACAATGGACATGGTGGCGTACCGTGGTATTATACAGTGCGAAAATGGATGTAATCGGAATACAACCACGTCTACTTCGTATACAAATTAGGCACCATACATCGGGATACACCTTTGCATAAATAGTGCCATCTCAACAACCAGATATGGAAGATGTGAACCAAAGTACGTATGGCCGACTGTTTACCGAACATATCGGTCAATGTGTCAATGCTCAAGGTTACTTAAAAAATACCGAAATCCATAAATTCCGAAACTCTTTATTAATTGGTATCAAGAAACAGCGCTCCTGAGTTCATGTACTCGGTAATTATTTATAACTTTTAAGCATGGATAAAAACTCAATCCCGAAATATTATACTCTTTTTTTAAATCTTTAGCATTATTCAACTTTATTAATGTAATAACATAAATTAATTTTTCATAATGGGGAGGAATGAACATTTCATCAAACCAATGTTTATCAAAAATTCTTTATTACATATTATATAATATAATCCTTAGTGCTTTTGAAACTGACTACTCTGCCAATAACTATAAATTTTGCACATAATTTTCTATTGAAACATTTGAATGTGTTATTAAATGAATTCAGAAAAATGTATTCCTGAGAAAATAAAAAATTCGGAAAACCCCGAAACCAATTTTCATTTAGCTTCAGGAATCATTTTTTGTAAATCATCGAAAATGCAATCTAAATAATAATTTTTCATATCATTTTAATGCTTAAAAAATTAACAACCGCAAATAGTTTCGGGATCCCAAAATTTTCATTTTGAATTTATTTTTGTTAATTTACTAATATTTTTTGCATTACTGTTGACAAAATCATCATAATTTTTTGCATTATACGTTTTACCTTTCAATTTAACATAAAAAATTAAAAATATTATGAAAACCACATATCGCAATTTAATAAACAATTAATAATATTTAATTAAAAACATAATAAGCCGCATTGTAGCTCGCTTTAATTATATGAGTGTTCAATGTGTGAAATATATAATTGAGATTCGGAAAATATCAAGTCAAAAATATACAATACCTAATGAAAACATTTTTGCACTTCCGGCTGACTTTATACACCATAGCGTACGAGTATATCGGCCAAATTGTGTGTTATCTTTATTAAATTGAAAAGGCGTGTTTTTCTAATAATAACGTATTTTCATGCTTAAAATGAATAAAATAGAGGGAAAAAGTCCCTATCTAGATTTTATTTATCATACTCTTCATTTAAGTTTTATTTTATTTTTAATTTAAGTTTTTTTTTTTGCTTAAGTTTATTTTTTTTCACCAAGTTATTAGTTACCTTTTCTTTTTATTGAAATTTTATTTATGTACAATACGTTTATGTACCAATCATTTTTTTCAAAAATAGTTTGGTTTATCGCAAAAGTCAAATAATTCGAAATACTAATTATTGTATTTATTTTGTAATAATTTTTTTTTTACCGAAATGTTGCATCAACATCTGTTAGCTACTGTACGTGGCCTACAAATATATTATATATTCACTAAATAATTTTAATTCGCATAAAAACAGCTTAAATTGAATACGTCAATATTCAAATGCCAATATGTATGTATCTACATATTTTTGTATAAGTATATATATATATGCTCATAAGAAAATATGTATTTCACAGGAAAAAATATATTTTTTGCACTTAGATTGTTGTCAAGCAACTTATGTTTTATTTTTATTTTTGTTGTTTGCTTATCGATATTGTTTTTTTTCATGGTTTTTTATTTTTTATTAATATTGCTTTATTATTGTTTTGGTTATTATTTTTCTTGAATGAACGAATTTTGACCTCTATATTCAATAGCTGAATCAAACCAAAATGCATTTAAGCCAACTGAAACAGATGTTTGTGAAAACAATTCAGAAAATACTCTTAACATATGTGAATGTATTCAATGCCAGCGCGCACAATTCCACAAACAACTAGCCGATTTTGGTTAAAACAAATGTGTGTGAAACCACACTCAGGTGGCGAGCAAGTGAGCGGCGAGACTAATTTGACAATAGGTTGAATATATAATATATTAGTCTATATCAGTGCACTATATGCTATATTTATGTTTAGAATTTAATTAATCTTGTTTTTTTGTTTTATTTCAACTACAGTTCAAGTAGCGACTTTAATAATAAAGAAAAGTAGTGTGTCAAGAACAACGAGTTTTGAAAATTATGTGCCCAAAGTGCAATATGGAAAAACCTTCAGTATTTTTATGAGAGATCTCAGTGACGCTTTCTTACCAGCTAATAAACTTCATTTGCGATTAATGATCGTTCGAAAATTTAAATATCCAAATCCAAATTTTATAAATTGTCCCTTAATTTGAAAAAAGTGAATTTAAATCATGAAAACTCAATCCTGAAATTAGCATCCAGGTCCTAACATGTCCTTAATTCGTCTGGCTTGTGCTTTTCGTAGTATTTTTTAAGGACGTGATCATCAATGAATTAGTAGGTCAAGTTACTTAGAAAATATCGAAATTCATAAATCCCGAAAGTGTTTATTTAAAGGTATAAAAAAGCACTCATAAAATCATGAGCTCGATAATTATCAATTATTAAAAAAAAAATTAAGGCTCGTTCACAACAAATGTTCCCTACCAACATATTTGTATGTTAACGCTCACTTTATACCGGTACACCTGGTATTTGTAATTTGTATGAAAAGATAAAACCTTAAACCCGAAACTGATATCGGCATCCCGAAATATTTGATTTATTTGTATATTTCTTTATTACCCATTTTATATTATTTAGTGGTTTTGAAACTGGCTACTCTACTTATTTCCAACATTAACGGTAAATTTTACGAGTCATTTTCTATTAAAATATTTGAATGTGCTACTAAATGAGTTAAGTAAAATGTATTTCTGAAAAATCTCGAAACGAAATTTCTCTTGCTTCGAGATTAAATTTTTATAAATCGTAATAAATTTCCATTTGATTTGAGTTTTTATAGAAAATTATTTTGAAATTATTTTTGATTTGTGTTTTAATGCATAAAAGTTATTTTCTGACCATATTTTCGGGATCCCGAAATTTTTAAAATATTTTTAAATTTTTTTCATTTTGTGAAACTTATTTTGAGTTTATTTTTGTTATTTTAATAATAATTTTTGCATAACTGTTACAAATTTCTCATAATTTCTTTCATTATACGTTTTAACTTTCATTTTTTAAGTTACTCTTCTTCTAACCACTCTCATGAAAAAATTTAAAATATGTTGAAAATCACATATCGTAATTAGATAAACAATTTAATTGCATGTAATAAGCCGAGTTGCAGCTCCGTTCAATTATATGAGTTTTCATAACATTTTAAATGTCACCCGAAATTACAACACTTGTGTATTGTCAACATATTTACGCGCATCTTTATGAAAGATTATAATTATTTAAACAATATTACGCAAGGCATAAGAAAGCTTAAATCTGAATAATAACTCGAGTAACTGCATGTACTATATGGGTACGTGTGCACAATAAGTGGCTAATAGCTGCAACAGCAGCATATACACATGCTTACATGTATACATATAGTGTATATATATATATGTATCTTATATTATATAATTATATATAAACATATGTACAAATATATGCACATACATACATATACAAAAACTATTACACGTGGATAACAATTTAAATCGCGCAATTTTGTCGCTTAGGTCTTTAGTTCGCGCATGGCCTAGACCTCACTTCGGATAATTGTAGTTTGACTTTTGCACATATTTTTTGCTACAAATATGTCTACATATATGTGTGTACTTTGTGCGATTACATGTACATAATCTCCATTAAAAAAATAACTGAGTGCATACATAATTTTTAATTCTTTTAAATGCTATATTATATTTTCTTAGTATATAATTAAAATTAATTTAAACTTTTTTATTTCAGTTAATTAACATTTTTAAATTTTTGAATATTTTACTATTCTAATTTTTCACTAAACTTTTTTTTTAAATAAATTTTTTGATCATTTATAATTTTCTTTTTAATCGATTTTTTGTTTACTTTTAATTTATAAATATATTTCGTTCTATTTTTTTTTTTTACTTTTTCATAATTTTGCGATAAAGTATATATGTTCACACATATATTTTTTTATTTTTTATTTTTTCTCTTTATTCGGTAAAAAAAATATTTGAGTTTATTTACATATAACATACAATATAAACAAGTTTTTTATTTGTATTTCACATATACTCGTAACATACAACATAAACAAGTTTTTTATTTTTATTTTTGTAACATTTTTAAATGTACTTTTAAGTGCTTAGTTTATCTTTAGATTAAATTAATTGCATTTTAAGGTTGTTTTTTAACTCTTAATTATTTAATTTTAAAATATTTTTACTTTATTAAATTTTCTAGTATTTGTTTTAAATTTTTGTTATACATATTTTAGAATTTAATTTTAATTATTATTTTTTTTTTAATTTTTCTATTTATTTTTATGTTGGCCCAATTTACTTTTTTTAATATTTTAAAATTGTTATTTACAATTTTTTCACTCTTTTAGTTTTATTTTAAATTTTTAATTATTTTAGATATATTTTTATGGTTTTTTTTTTACTATTTTAATTAATATTTATTTGATCTTATTTATTTCATATGAATGTCCATTTCCTTTTTATAATATAATTTATTTAATTCCTTAACTTTTTAAATTTAAATTTTTATTTAATTAATTTAAAATTTTTTTTTTGTTTTGTTTTAAATTTTTAAAATATTTTGGTTTATTTTTATATTGTTAATTTAATTTAAATTGTTTTTTTTTATTTTTCAACATTTCGAACTTTTTCTAATGTACGTTTTATACCTATTATACTTTTAACTATTTTTTGTTTTGTTAAAGTGAATTTTTTTTATTATCGTAGTTACAATTTTTATTTTTTTTAATTATTTTAAAATTTATTTTAAAAAATTTCTTATATTTTATTTTTTTTTTTATATCATGCATCTGTTTATAGTAGTCATAAGTGTTTGTATGTGCGTGCATAAGCACTCGCTTATAACACTTATGCAATTGTCGCAAAGCAGACAGTCGTAAACACTTTGCCGCAATTTGAGTTATTTAATATTAATACTAAAGCGCATGGAAAGAAAATACAAAACTAAAAACAACAACATCAATATCTACTGATAAATGAGTGCGCGGTGGCATACAAAACGAAATTGTTTAATGAAAATGAAATAATTTGCGAAAATTACATCAACAAACGAGCGCGAATTGTAGAGGCATTAGAAATCAAAAATAAAGACAGCAACAAAAACAAACAACTAACAATGAAAAGCACGCAAGACGCGCCAATGCTAGATTGTGTGTATAAAAAGGAATGCAGCACGAATAAGTTAATCTAAAGATAATAATAGACCCGTTACCGAGTCCCGAAATTATATTAAAACGTTTTTTGATAGTATATATAATCGAAAATGCGTTTAAAAAAATTGCTATTAAGTTTTTGACCTAAAGAACATCGAATCCCGATTTATTTAAAAAATGTTGACAGTAATCTTTTTCAATTAATCGATTAGAATTATGAAAATTCAGTAGTAGAGTTAATAATCAAATCCAAAACATTTAAACCTTTTTTCCTTGTAATTCGTAAC